ATGTTTTATTTTGTTATTTTTTTAAGAAAATCATGTGAAATGTATTATATATAAAAATAAGAGAATAAAGATATGAAGAAATAATAATAATTTAAAATAAGGTACACTTAGTGCTAACACTTGATTAATGTAAAGTAAATAGTTTAAACTACTCATATTTGGCTAAAGATATTGAAACTTACATTAATTCGTAATTAAGATTTACCTGGGCGACAGGATTAAAATGTGTTCCTGGGGCACAGTTTCTCTCTATTTTCTCTCCGTGCACACAGTAATAGAATTTGGTGCAGTCGTCGTGGGGTAACAGCTGGTGTATGTCGAAGTCCGCGGGACAGCTGTTTGGTAACAGATTACCTCCACCTCCGCTAGGAATGCAGCCAGCGTCTTCGGGCCAGTCGCATACCTGTAATTTTAAAAAGATTACGGTTTACTACTTGATGAGATCGTCTACATGTCTAAGAGTTTTAAATTTCGAAATACCGATTCCTTATGTTTATGATGTAGGCTAGATTCATGACAATATTAGAAATCTATTGGCTAAGCTATTATTGTAACTTCATGTTTAGAGCGCGCGCACTTTTGACTAAACTCTCGCACAACTGTTTAGTGTCGCTTTGATACCTATATGCTTATATGGTGCGCTCACTACTCGATTCTTGGTCGTGCGACTGAACAGTTGAATTCTCTGCAAAACAACAGTTGTGCGGTAGTTTAGTCAAAGGTGTGCGCTCTTAATATAATCATAATTACCTGTAAGATGGGGTTAAAATGTGTATCAGGTGGACATTCACGCTCTACTTTCTCGCCATATACGCAATAGTAGAATTTGCTACAATTATTCTCATGTGGAAGAAGTTGATGAATGTCGAAATCGGCCGGACAACCGTTCGGTAGGATGTCACCTCCTCCGCCTCCGCCGCCTCCTCCACCTCCGTTATTAACGCATTCTGAATCCCAAGGGAAAACGCAAACCTGAAAATACAGAACAAATGTTTTAAATTAATCAAATAAACAAAATTAATCAAATAAGTACGGGCACACCTTTGACAACTGTCAACTATCGCACAACTGTTGTGCGATTGTCGATTGTTTCGCAAAAAATTCAATTGTTTAGTCGCACAACTAAAAAGAGAGTAGTGTGCACCAACATTTAAGCTCTCAGGAATCAAAGCGAGACTAAACAGTTATGTAATAGTTTAAGTAAAGGTGTGCGCGCTCTAAGGAAAACAAATTGGTTGCACCTAAATTATTTTAGGGTAATATAAAACCTAAGTCACCTCCTCCTTCTAGGATTTATATAATTAATTACCAACACAATAATACTTAAGTCAAAAAAGTGTTACCAAAACTTATGTATCCACATAAAATCGATCCATTCGGTTGTAAAGAGTCATATCTTAAAAATATTAAAATTTTATTAAATCATCGATTACGTTCGTTAGATAAAAATAGTAAAAAAAATCAAATTTTTCCTTCTAACAGATTAATAGATAAAGTTCCACAAGTGTGAAAACTTTAATCCAGTTATCTTTCTTGGATTAGTATTAGAATGATAAAATTGTTTAGATACGTTAATCACCTTGTAGGGTTGAATTTCCTGATTGAAAAACTCAAACAATAAAATATCTTTACAATGACAAATGTCAGCCTTGGTTAGGGTTAGGCACGGTTACATGTTTAAATACACGCGTCGCGGACGTAAACTATAGCGAGCCGGTGGCCCCAGCCTACTGCGTTGGAGGAACCGAGGGGTTTAGTGTGTAGGCCCCTTTATGGGGAGATTCCCGCATAACTACCGCGGTCCCCCGGGCGAGGATTATGCATAAAGCATTCCCCTTGGACAAAAAAATGTTTAAAAACATGTTACTTATGTAAGTTTTATCATGAAATCTGACGAGGGTAGGTCATTACTGATATGGTTCTACCTAAAAGGACAACTATATGGTTCTACCTAAAAGGACAACTAGTAAATGTAACATTAAACGAACACTAACACCATGAGATTCTACTGAAATCATACTAACTAGTGTTTGTTAGATTTTGTAGCCTAAACAGCTGAACGTATTTCGATGAAATTTGGTACAAATGTAGAGGATAGTCTGAAAGAACGCATAGGCTACCCACTTCTATTTTTTGCTAGTTATGGAGTTTCGCAGACTACTCGATTTTTAGTTGTGCAATAAATAATTGGCTGCGAAACAATCGACAACCGTACAACAGTTGTGTGCGATTGTCGAAAAGTGCACCCCTTCTAAGATGCAGTTAACAAAACTATTCCTGGCAATTTTTATATTTCGTCATCTTTTTAAAAATTGTATAACATTGACAAAGAATACCAACGCTACTGTTTCTCCGACTTATCAGTCTGAATTTAATCAGTTGGCTGTTAATTCTGGATTATTATTAATCCAGATTTAGTTAAGCTTATCTGATAATGTAAATATGAAAATACTTCCCAGATAATGTTTATCATGCAGCACCGGATGGGCAGTAACATAGAAATTTAACCTCAAAAAATGTAAAAAAGACACCCTAGAGATGTAAACAAACGTACAAGTAATAGATATACGATAACAATACTGCCATCCTACTTATTCTCTTCGAGAAAGACAAGGTCAAAATTTATCATCAGATTAAGAAGTTAGAAATGCTTTTAAACGGATAAAAAAAGGTTCAAACTATGATCGCAGTGTACATTCGCTTTCACTAAGCCCTGGGAGCTTATTAATGTCTTAGCAATCGACCAATAAATTGTAAATCATAATTCAAATGAGATTTTTATTTATCGAGATTCGTGCTCAGGCTGACATAGATGTTAGAGGAAGAGATACGTTGTGAGGATGTAAGACTTACTTGTTCTTTAAAACTGAAGTAGGTGCCAGCAGCGCACTGTCTCTGTACTTTTTGTCCGTGCACGCAGTAGTAAAATTTGTTGCACTCAGTCTCGTGCGGCAGCAATTTGTGAATGTCAAAATCGGCAGGACATCCGTTTTCTAATAGATCAGGCGTTGATGGTGTAGTTGAGGTAGTTGTAGTTGTTGGAGCTTGAGTCGTTGTTGTAGTTGTTGGCGCCGGCGTCGTTGTTGTTGTTGTTGTTGGTGCTGGCGTCGTTGTTGTTGTTGTAGTTGTTGGCGCCGGCGTCGTTGTTGTTGTGGTTGTTGGTGCTGGAGTCGTTGTTGTTGTTGTAGTTGTTGGCGCCGGCGTCGTTGTTGTTGTGGTTGTTGGTGCTGGCGTCGTCGTCGTTGTTGTTGTAGTTGTTGGGGCTGGGGTTGTTGTTGTTGTGGTTGTTGTTGTTGTGGTTGTTGGGGCTGGGGTCGTTGTGGTTGTTGTCGGTGCTTGAGTCGTTGTAGTTGTAGTTGGAGCTTGTGTCGTCGTCGTCGTTGTGGTTGGAGCTTCTGTTGTTGTTGTTGTTGTAGGCGCCTGAGTTGTTGTAGTTGTAGTTGGAGCTGGTGTCGTCGTCGTTGTTGTGGTTGGAGCTTCTGTTGTTGTTGTTGTTGTAGGTGCCTGAGTTGTTGTAGTTGTAGTTGGAGCTGGTGTCGTCGTCGTTGTTGTAGTTGGAGTTTGAGTCGTTGTCGTTGTCGTGGTTGAAGCTTCTGTTGTTGTAGTTGTAGTTGGAGCTGGTGTCGTCGTCGTTGTTGTGGTTGGAGCTTCCGTTGTTGTTGTAGGCGCCTGAGTTGTTGTAGTAGTTGTTGTTGGCACTTGCGTTGTTGTTGTCGTAATGGGTACTGTGGCAGTACTCTCAGTGCTTGCGGTAGAACTTCCAGGTAGTGTACAGTTTGCAAATATAGGGTGAATACAAACCTAAAATGAAATTAACATATTTTAACTCCTAGGTCGTTAATAGAAATCGTTTATAATTTAAGTGCTGAAAAACCGTTTATAAATTCACCTGTTGTTCGAAAGAGAAATGTGTGCCGGGCGAGCAATCTCGTGGTGTTGTCCATTTTACACCGTATTCGCAGTAGTAGAATTTTGTACAATCGTATTCATGGGGCAGTAGAAAATGCTCTTCTGCGCTAGGGCAGTCTTCTGAGGTGATGGTAGACCTCTCATCCGCATTATACCATTCTCCCTGTGGTCTGCTCTGCGCTAACGCCAGGGCAGCCAGGAAAATTAGTTTTCCTAAAAATAAATATGTATATCATAGTTAAAAAATGCACTTTTGATATCGAAAAATTATCCATGGTTTAAACATTATTAGTACGGTATTAGAAAATTGGGATTATCATAGTTTTAAGAGTTAAACAAAAGAATGTTTATAAAAAAGACTTAACTGTATGGCACAAAACAAAAAATAAAAAACCAAGAACACATTTAGGGTATATAAAATAATACTAGAAAAATAAGTTCAAACCAAGAGATAGATTGTCTAAGAATATTTTCTTAAGTACTCCAGATTGTGAACGATGTAACGTAAGGTTTTAGGTATGGAGTAAATACCTCACATACCTTTCATAGCGCCCCCGTCACGCTTAATTTCCACAATATAAACCCACCACTATATAATAAGTGACGATTTGTTACTGGTAAAACTCAACCCTGATTTTGAATATATATCCGAATTATCCTTTACTGATACATATTCGATAAGCTTGGATAATTACGTGTAGATAAATCGATAACACAACAGAAGCCGTATAGACAATATTTTGTTGTTAATTCAATGGATGATATCGATATGAAAAGATACTGATTGTAATCGCTTTCTCTTTTTCACAGCACATTTTGATTCTATTTTGATAGAGATTTCCACAACCAGGTTCCATCTCCAACATACCAATATGCTCTTCGGTTTTTAAGTTCAATACAAATATCTAATTGTCAAAAAACAGAAAGATTTTGCTATTCATGATTCACATTTAAGAATTTTTACATTAGCTAGTTGTTTTTCTACATGATAAGACGATAATTTTTTTAAATCGATTACGTCATTTCCTTGAATATCAGATTAATTTCAGGTTAACATGAAAGGATTAACAAAGATTAATGAAATTGGAAGGAAATTAAGAAGAAATTACTCTTCTGTACGAGGAAAACGTTACATGTTGATATTTGAAATTAAGAGCACACCCATTGACTAAACTTCGCACAACTGTTATCCGATTGTCGATTGTTATGACCATTCAACTGTTTTGTCGCACAACTATAAATGGAGAAGTGTATGCACCTTCATATAAGCTCATAGGAATCAAATCGCGACTAAATAGTTATGTGACAGTTTAGTCAAAGATGTGTTCCCGCTCTAATAACTCGTAGATATAATAAATCACAATTAAGGTCAAAATTTTGTATTTCAGAAGATATCGATGTAAATTTGTAGCAGCTAAAATTCATATTATATTTCGTCAATTCATTTGTTTTTCAGATACTGTCTAATCAAATCGGGGTCCACTTTATTCCATGGCAGGAATATTTTAAGACCGTCCGGCTGAACTGAGGAGAGTATGTTCTTCCTAACACAAGATACATTGCAGACGAAGTCACATGTATATGTTTGAGGATTAAAATGAAGCCCATCTGAACATGTTCCTAAAATAGGCTTAGTTCCATCGCAGACCCAGAACTTAGAGCATTCACTCTCATGAGCCCATGGGAGAACGTTACAACCGGTTTCGCATTTATTGCCGCTCGGTTTAGGTGGTTTGTCACCTCCTCCTCCATTGTTAGCACAACCAGCTTTATCCGGCCAATCACAGACCTGCAATTGAACGGATTTATTTTATTTACCATCGTTAAAACAACAACAACAACAGCCATAAGTCTAAAAAAAGTAGTCTAGTGTGTGTAGAATTACAACATTTAATTAACTCCTCAAATATTTTGTTGTGTCTACATTTTTGATATTGTAAACAAAGAAGTCAATGCCATTTATCATACAAAACAATTGATAACGTTTTAAGTGTCACGGTCTAAGACTTAAACGGAATTTCAATACGTAAAAGCATATAAGATGAAGCGTGCTCTTAAACCTTAGAGGGCACACTTTTGACTGAACTATCGCACCACTGTTGTACGATTGTCGATTGCTACGCAGCCAAATCAATTGTGAAACATAATTAAATATCTATTAGTTCGTACCTCTATTTAAGCTCATATGAATCAAAGCGAGAATAAACAATTGTGCTATAGTCTAGTCAATGGTGTGCGCCCGCACTTAACCTCCAAGATACTTTAAAATTTTGACGACAACGGCCCTTATGTCGAAGTGTTTGAGATTGGATTCAGTAATCGGACGTAAGCTTTGAAAATTTCTAGTACCTGTAACTTGGGGTTGAAATGAGTTCCTGGAGCGCAGGTCCTCAAAACTTTTTCGCCGCGTACACAATGATAGAATTTAGTGCAATCGTTCTCGTGAGGGAGGAGGTGATGAACATGTATATCTGCAGGGCAACCATTAGGTAACCATGCCCCTCCTCCACCGCCGTTGCCACCTCCGTTATTGTCACCTTCTGATCCACCGTCACCACCACCTCCGTTATTGTTACCTCCTGATCCACCATCCCCTCCACCACCATTACCATTTGCAGTACATCCAGCATTTTGCGGCCAATCGCAGACCTGAAGGCAAATACCAGAATAAAACGTTAAAGTGTTTAGAATATTCACTTATTAGAATTTGTGTGGCCAAGCCACAATCAAATACTTCTTACCAATTTGTTTAAAAATTGAATTGCCTGTTTGTGATTACGATTAAGTAGTCGGGAGTTTTAATTTAATCACCATTTGACTATTTTAACTTGATTGAAAGCTTTCGTGTTTCGAATAATACGGTAGAATTTGAAATTATCTGATTTTAACTAAAATTATCGAGTTACGTATTGGCAGGTTGAAAAACAGCTTCGCATGTCTTAGATAACTATACATACGAGTATATACATACGTTCACGCTAAACCGGCAGCCCGTTGTTGTTGATTTATGTTTTTACTTAGCTCATGAGGAACTGTATTCCTATTTTTAGTGATAACAATAAGGATAATATTCTTTTAGAAATTTATATGTAACCTTTTACCTGTAACTTGGGGTTGAAATGTGTTCCTGGAGCGCAGGTCCTCAAAACTTTTTCGCCGCGTACACAATGATAGAACTTAGTGCAATCGTTCTCGTGAGGAAGGAGGTGATGAA